CCACCTTAGCAAGATAATAAATATTTAATTGCCCCCAAAAGTTTCCCCAGCGAAATGCTGATTTGTTTTTTCTTATTGCAGATGAGTGCATTTTCTGGAATTTTATACAATTGAAATAATATAGTAGGTACTTTCTTGGGGTCTTTCTCCTTTCCCTCAGCAGAAGTTCTTTGACATTCATGCAGATTGCAGAGCCTGTCAATACCTCATGTCTTTTTACTGCTGAATTCAATTCTACTGTGTGGCCAGGCTGCCACTGATTTATCCATTCACTTTTATGTAATTTGGTGGAGCTTCCAATTCTTTGGCTATTCCAAATGAAGCTGCTGTGAACATTTGTGTACATCTTCGTTTAGACATCTGCTTTGATTTCTTTGGGTTAATACCTAGGATTGGAATGGCTGTGTCATGTGGCAGATGTACATTTAACTGTTTAACAGGCTGGCAAACTGCTTTTGGAAGTGGTTGGACTATTTTACATTTCTACTGGCAATGAACCTGCGTTCCAGTTGCCTCTCCTCTTTATCAAAACTTGCAGTCAGTCTTAAATTTTAGGTATCTTAACAAGATGTGCTGTGTGGTGTCTCGTGGTTTTAATTTACGTAATTATATAATGACTAATAATGCTGAGGATCTTTTTTTTTTGAGACAGACTTTTGCTCTTGTTGGTGGAGTGTAGTAGTGTGATCTCGGCTCACTGCAACCTCTGCCTCCCGGGTTCAAGCAATTCTCCTGCCTCAGTCTCCCAAGTAGCTGGGATTACAGGTATGCACCAGCATGCCCAGCTAATTCTGTATTTTTTTAGTACAGACAGGGTTTCACCATGTTGGTCAGGCAGGTCTTGAACTTCTGACCTCAAGTGATCTACCCGCCTCAGCCTCCCAAAGTCCTGGGATTACAGGCGTGAGCCACCGCGCCCGGCCAATGTTGAGCGGCTTTTCATGTGCTTATTTACCATCATGTATCTTCTTTGGTGAAGTGCCCATTCAAATCTTTTGCCCAGTAGCTGAGTGCAGAGGCTCACCCCTGTAATCCCAGTGGCTCTAGTGGCAGAGACAGGAGGATCACTTGAGGCCAGGAGTTTTTTTTTTTTTTTTTTTTTGGTTTTTTTAGATGGAGTCTCGCTGTCACCAGGCTGGAGTGCAATGGCGAGATCTTGGCTCACGGCAACCTCCACCCGCTGGGTTCAAGCAATTCTCCTGCCTCAGCCTCATGAGTAGCTGGGATTATAGGCGTGTGCCACCATGCCCGGCTAATTTTTGTATTTTTATTAGAGACTGGCTTTCACCATGTTGGCCAGGATAGCCTTGATCTCTTGACCTCGTGATCTGCCCACCCTTAGCCTCCCAATGTGCTGGGATTACAGGCGTGAGCCACCGCACTCATTATTTTATTTTATTTTATTTGGGTTTTTTTTTTTTTTTTTTTTTGAGCTGGAGTTTCCCTCTTGTTGCCTAGGCTGGAGTGCAATGGCGTGATCTTGGCTTACCGAAACCTCCGCCTCCTGGGTTCAAGCGATTCTCCTGCCTCAGCCTCCTAAGTAGGTGGAATTACAGGCATGTGCCACTATGCCCAGCTAATTTTGTATTTTTAGTAGAGATGGGGTTTCTCCATGTTGGTCAGGGTGGTCTCGGATTCCTGACCTCAGGTGATCCGCCTGCCTTGGCCTCCCAAAGTGCTGAGATTACAGGTGTAAGCCATTGCACCTGGCCCTGAGGCCAGGAGTTTGAGGCTGCAGGGAGCCGTGATTGTGCCACTGCACTCCAGCCTGGAGAATTGCTGGAATCTGGGAGGTGGAAGTTGCAATGAGCTGAGATCGCACCACTGCATTCTAACTTGGGTGGTAGAGTGAGACTCTGTCTCTAAATAAATAAATGAATGAATAAGAAAATCAGTTGTCTGTATAGGTGTGAGTCTATTTCTGGATTCTTCCTGGCATTCTATTATCTGTTGTTACATTAATACCACACATGGTTTTGATTAGCTTTACAATAAGTCTTGATGTCAAGTAATGTTATTCCCTCAAATTCAACTTTCTCAAAGTTGTTTTGGTTATGCTGGTTTCTTCGTATTTTCACATAAATAACAGATTAGTTTCTCAGTTTCCAGCCCCGCCGTCCACCTCCCCATCCCCTGCCACAAAAACGCCTGCTGGAATTTTGATGGAAATTGTTTTTAACTGGAATAGATCAATTTGGGGAGGACTAAGCCCATCTTGTATTCCTGAGATAAACCCTACTTGGTTAAGGTACATTAATATCTTTCTATTATTGGTGTCTGCTTGCTAAAATACAGGGAATAGTTTTCGTATCTATGTTCATGAGTGATCCTGGGTTGTAGTTTTCTCATAATGTCTTCAGTGCCGTTTTGGTATCAAAGTAATTCTAGCTTCATAGAATGAACTGAGAAGTGTTCCTTCCTCTTTAATTTTCTGGTAGAATTTGAGTTAAATCAGTATTATTTCTTCCTTAAATGTTTGGTAGAATTTACACAGTGAAACCATATGGGCCTGAAGTTTTCTTCCCTTCTTGGAAGGTTTTTAAGTTACAAATTCAGTGTCTTTAATTGACTTAAGACTATTCAGGTTATCTATTTATTTCCCTCCCCCCCCGGGATAATTTTTGTGTTTTTAGTACAGACAGGGTTTCACCATGTTGGCCAGCTGGTCTCGAACTCCTGACCTCAAATGATCTGCCTGCCTCAGCCTCCCAAAGTGCTGGGATTGTAGGCATGAGCCACTGAACCCAGCCCAGGTTATCTATTTCTTACTAAGTAAGCTTTGGTCCTCTGTGTTTTTCAAGGAGTTTGTCCATTTCATCTAGGTTGTCACATTTATTGGCATTCCAGTATTCATAACACCCCCTTACTATCCTGTCCCCTGGCTCTATTCTACTGGGCAGAAACCAGTCAGCTTTGTCCAGGTCCAGAACCTATTTCTCCACTCACACCAGCCACAAAGACCACCAGATCATCTTCTGTTTTACTCCAGAGTGCAGCAAACGTTTTTGGGTGACCCTGGGCTCACTCAGCCGACACTGGTGGTGGCTTCTCCACTGCTTTGCTTTCGCACCACTAACTGGACCCAGTACTATGAGACACGGACATTCCCTTCTGTAGACCACGGGAAAGGCTGTGAAACAGACCTCCAGCAGGTGTGTGACCCAGGAGGGAGGTATCCTCATACCGGGGAGGAATCACATGAACTCCTGGAATTCCTGGATGAGACACCGGGGCTGCCTCAGCCACAGGACCTGCTGGAGCCACACCTTGGACCTGCTGGGGACTATCGTTGGCGCAGGGCTCTGTACAGATCCAGACAGAGAATGGGCCCCGTGGAGACTCTGGGATGAGCATGCAGGGGACGCAGCTGCCCGGTCTATTTCTAATAGCAGCCATGAAGATGAACCTGGCCTTTGTGAAATGCTTCATAACTTACCAAGCATTTCCACCTGGTTTATGTGAGGCAAAGATGACCAACCTCAATTTAGACACATGGGAAGTGAAACTAAAAGGCCTTAGGTAACTTAAGGACCGAAATGGTGAAAAACGTGAGACCCAAAGAAAGACACTGAGGTGGTTTTAAACTATTTCTGCAAATTCTTTTGACACTCTTCAATTCAAAAAGGGCCAGGTGCGGGGGTGCAGGGGCTCACTCCTGTAATCTTCAGTGCTCTGGGAGGCTGAGGTGGGAGAATTGCTTGAGCTCAGTTCAAGGCTGCAGTGAGCCATGACTGCCATTGCACTCCAGCCTGGACAACAAAGCAAGACCCTGTCTCTAAAAGGGGTGGTCTAGGCCGGGCACAGTGGCTCACGCCTGTAATCCCAGCACTTTGGGAGGTTGAGGTGGGTGGATCAACCGAGGTCAGGAGTTCAAAACCAGCCTGGCCAACATGGTGAACCCCATCCCTACTAAAAATACAAAAATTAGCTGGGTGTGGTGGTGCGCACCTGTAACCCCAGCTACTCGGGAGGCAGAGGCATCTGAATCACTTGAATCTGGGAGGTGGAGGTTGCAGTGAGCCGAGATTGCACCACTGCACTCTAGCCTGGGCAACAGAGCAAGACTGTCTCAAAATTAAATAAATAAATAATAAAAGAGGTGGTCTAAATCTCATCACAACCATCCCCCGACCGCTGTCATGGGCTGGAGTGACTAGCATCTAGCAGACAGCATGTGGCAGAGTGATGCACTGTGACTACCTTTTTTTTTTCTTTTTGAGTTGAAGTCTTGCTCTCTTGCCCAGCCTGGAGTGCAGTGGTGCGATCTCAGCTCACTTCAACCTCCGCCTCCCAGGTTCAAGTGATTCTTCTGCCTCAGCCTCCCAAGTAGCTGGAACTACAGGCATGTGCCACTACACCCGGCTAATTTTTGTATTTTTAGTAGAGACAGTTTCACAAGTGATCCACCTGCCTCGGCCTCCCAAAGTGCTGGGATTACAGGCTTGAGCCACCGCGCCTGGCGCCGTCAGTGTTTTAAGCCACTAAGTTTGGAGGCTACAGAGCAACAGGTAGGGGAATCATTAATATGCAAAGTGACAAGCGCACCAATGGAAGAAGGTGCACGGTGATGCCAGAGTCCAGGGGTGAGAGGACCTCCCAGTGGACAGGGCAGGAGAGGTTCTCAGTGCTCATTCAAGCTGGGATTTGAAGGCTGGGTAGGGCTCCGATCATCTGGAGGAGTGGTGTATGAAAGCACCCCAGCGAGAAAGGCACAGAGGGCTGGAAGTACTTGGGGTGGTGGCGGGAAACCCACGTTTCGACTGCAGGGTTCGGGCCTTTCTGTCTGGGGTGATAGAAGCAGCCTAGGCTTCCAGCAGGGAGTGACATGGTCAGGCCAAAATGCAGGTGCTTTTGTTTTTTGTTTGAGACAGGGTCTCACTCTGTCCCCCAGGCTGGAATGCAGTAACACCCAGACTTGCACCTTGTTTTCAAGGAGGCTATCAACCGCCCCACGGGAGGCAGAGGCAGAGAGAGAGTGGACTGGAATGGTCTTTCTCTCTTGCCCGTGGCACCTGTGATGGACAGGACGGAGCTGGGCACGCAGGCTGGGATCCATGGTGCAATCTGCAGCCACGTCGCCAGGAAGGCAATGGCATTCAGAACCCTGAACTCCCTCAGCGACGCAATGATGGCAATGTGGGTCTCCACCACAATTGTGGATCCCGAAAAGTTTTACTTTAAAAAAGTGCATCTATACGTCATTTAAATGTTGGCACCAATGTAGAACTGGGAGAATTGAATCTTAACCAATCAAAATTCACATGCCTGCCCCTTCTTCCAGGTCATTCCTCTCAGCGGCTAGCCCTGGAATTTCTCAGCTAAACATGCATTGTTGTGGATATTTAATAATATCCATAATTAAATTAAATGGGGGGGTCGACAAAAGCCTCAGTGCTGTTATCCTCCCCAGATCCTGGGGCCGGGAGGCCCATTCTCATAGAAGGAAGCCTTAAATACGGCTGCTGTCCGTCTTGCAGGGCCACTAAAAGGAAGTTTCCTTGGCAGGAGAGGGCACGGGAGGCCCAGCAGCAATGGTTTCTTCTTTCTTCTCCTCTGGAATCTCTACTCCATTTTTCTTGGCAAAAATGCGGTTTATCTCCACAAATGTTTTGCCCTTGGTCTCAGGAATAACCAGGTAGATGTAAATCGCAGTGAGGAGGCAGATTCCCGCAAAGATGATGAAACTGTAGGCACCGATGGCCTCCTAGACCAGGAGATGAGAAAGACAGATGGGGGCAGAGGAAGACCACAGTGCTGGTCCAGCCGAGCGCGGTGGCTCACGCCTGTAATCCCAGCACCTTGTGAGGCCGAGGCGGGTGGATCATCTGAGGTCAGGAGTTTGAGAACAACCTGGCCAACATGGTGAAACCCCGTCTCTATTAAAAATACAAAAATTAGCTGGGCATGGCGTTATGTACCTGTAGTCCCAGCTACTCGGGAGGCTGAGGCAAGAGAATCACTTGAACCTGGGAGGTGGAGGTTGCAGTGAGCCAAGATCTCACTACTGCACTCCAGCCTGGATGACACAGCCAGACTCCATTTCAAAAAAACAAAAAAACAAAACAAAACAAAAAACAGAAAAGAAAAGAAAAAGAAACAGCAACAGCGAGAAAACCCAGTGCTGGTCGAGGCCTTTGTGAGTCCATAAAGGAGTTGCTTGGTGGCCAGTTTTGTTTTACTCCCGGAAGAGTAATATAGCTAGAAAACCATGATAACTAAAGATTGTCTGCGGAAAAAAAAAAAAAAAAAAAAACAAACTCAAAAATTGGATCCCCCTCACCCTATTATCAAAAAGAATCTGGTCAGGTGCTGTGGCTCACATCTATAATCCCAGCACTATGGAAGGTCGAGGTGGGAGGATCCCTTGAATCTGGGAGTTTGAGACCAGCCTGGGCAACATAGCGAGACCCCATCCCTAAAAAAAAATTAAAAAAAAAAAAACAAACCAGCCCAGATGTGGTGGCATATGCCTGCTGTCCCAGCAACTTGGGAGGCTGAGGTGGGAGGTTCGCTTAAGCCCGGGAGGTCAAGGCTGCTGTGGGCTGTGGTTGCAACACTGCATTCTAGCCTGGGTGACAAAACAAGCCCCTCCTTTAAAAAAAAAAAAAAAAAAAAAGGGTGGGCCAAGTGGCTCATGCCTGTAATCCCAGCACTTTTGGAGGCTGAGGCCAGCAGATCACCTGAGGTCGGGACTTCAAGACCAGCCTGACCAACATGGAGAAACCCTGTGTCTACTAAAAACACAAAATTAGCTGGGTGTGGTGGCGCATGCCTGTAATCCTAGCTACTTGGGAGACTGAGGCAGGAGAATCTCTTGAACCCCGGAAGTGGAGGTTGCAGTGAGCCAAGATCACGCCATTGCACTCCAGCCTGGGCAACAAGAGAGAAACTCCGTCTCAAAAAAACCCACTTCTTAGCCTTTTGATGATAGGGGTTTATGGCCTCTGTGCCCTGAAGGTGCTGAGAGCAGAGTTTATGAGCCCATCTTGTCTTTGGAACAGAGGAAGGAAGCCGCAGGGATCTGCTCCCTGGCTTGTCTCCGCTTGCTTTCTGCTGCCTTTGAGCTCCCCAGCCCAGGGCCCCTAAGCCACAGCCCTTTACAATTCCAGTGGGGATCACCCTTCAGTAACTGGGAAACCCGTGTCTTTATAGGGCTTGGAGGCAGTGGGGCCACGTGTGTCTGTGGCCCTTGGAAGTGTCTGAGAGTCCGTCCCCTCCTTGCTGGATTGGAAGATGTGCTTAAAGGAAGGGGAATACGGCTGACTCCCTGGAGGACGGGTGGAGCGGGCTGGGGAAGGGCCCTCGCTCACCTGGATGGATGGGAACAGGAACCCCACGATGAAGTTGGTGAGCCAGTGCACCGCGCCGTCCACCATGAACGCCGCCCGCCGGGAGGACTGCAGAAAGATCTCGGTCCGCACCACCGAGGGGACCGGACCTGGAGGCCAGAGTGCAGTTTGGGTGGGGCGGAGAAGGACCCTAGGGGTCCCCCAGGGCTGGCGGGATGCGACCCACTCTAGCCTCAGACGAGGCCCCTGGAGAGCCCCAGCTGGGATTGGGGACTAGAAAGGAGCCCTGCCTTTACCCACAACACCGGGCCATGATCAGGGCAGAAGAGTTAAGGTCCACTTTGCAAAGTCTGGTTAGACAGCCTGGAGTTGGGTTTCCATTGCTGCTTCTTCAAGGCTCCGTGAAGGTTTGCAGAAAGCAGACGGATGGGAGACTCCGTGGGAGCAGCGGGAGTGCGTGGACTCCAGCTCACAGGCCGCTGGCACGGGCGTCACTCCGACTTTAGGGGGCCGAGGGCGGCAGAGCGCAGTGAGTGCCCGCGCTCAGGAAGTGCCGCCCTCCCATGGCGGGTCTGGGTATGGCAGCGCCTGCGGGTTACACCTTTTCTCGGGGAACCGTCTTTCATTATCGCCTCCTTAAGAAGGCTTGTCTAAAACGTCTAAAGCCATTTTTGTTCCCTAATCGCCACTCCCATGAAATTGTAGGTCCTGTATATATACATATCCGCAGCTTTACGCAAAGAAAGAGTAAGAGTCTGTCCCTCTTCCTCCAAGCTTCCCACCCTCGGTGGGGGTGGTGAAATGGCCTCATTGAAAAGGCCCCGTCTCAAGGATCACTTGAGGTCAGGAGTTCGAGACCAGCCTGGCCAACATAGTGAAACCCTGCCTCTACTAAATATATAAAAATTAGCTCTGCATGGTGGCGTGTGCCTGTAGTCCCAGCTACTCTGGAGGCTGAGGCAGACTTGCTTGAACCCCGGAGGCAGAGGTTGCAGTGAGCTGAGATCACGCCACTGCACTCCAGCCTGGACAACAGAGTGAGACTCCGACTCCGGAAAAAAAAAAAAAAAAAGAAAGAAAGGAAGAAAAGAAAGAAAAGGCCCAGTCTCCTTGGACGGACATGGAGAAGAATTCAAAGCCCCTGAATGAAGCTGGGATGCCAGGTACAAGCTCCTGCAGCCCTGTGAGGAGGGGCCTGGGTCTCCTGCCCCCAAAGTGGACGCTGGCAAGGGATGCCTTCTGTCCTGCCTCCCTCCTCTTTACCACGACAACAGCAGCCAGCAGTCCTTAGGCCTAAGTTGAACGTCAGATCAGCCCATATTTGACCTCACACTTCCCGGCACACCAGGTTACCTGCGTTCTTGGAGAAGCACTATGGCTTGCTCCAGGTAATACACAGGCAGTGAGAGCAGAACGGCTTGGAATCCGGCCAGGCCTCCTATACACACTAGCGCTTTTCCCACGAGGTCCTCCTGCCCCTCCACATTTGAGGCACACAGGGAAGGCTTCCTTCTTGAAATCCCACTTCTTTTTTAAACGGAGCCTCGCTCTGTTGTCTGGCCTGGAGTGCCGTGGAGGATCTCAGCTCACTGCAACCTCCACCTTCTGGGCTCAAATGATTGTCCTGCTTCAGCCTCCTGAGTAGCTGGGACTACAGGTGCCCACTACCACGCCTGGCTAAGTTTTGCATTTTTAGTAAAAACAGAGTTTCACCACATTGGCCAGGCTGGTCTGGAACTCCTGACCTTAAGGGATCCACCCGCCTCCACCTCCCAAAGTGTTGGGATTACAGTCATGAGCCACTGTGCCTGGCCTAAATCCCACTTTTTAAATACCCTTAAATACAATGATTTGGCCTCATTCATGTGCCTGACGAGGCACAGTCTAAGCAGGTATTCTGCCAATGGGTGTTGAATGAATTAATACCTTCATTTTGGTTTATGGACAGTGCTTTCAAAATGAACATTCTTCAGGGAATGTTACTAGAGCCTTTGCAGCCAGAGGTGTCTTTCCCCAGGCAGGGAAAAGGAGGTTCAGTTCTCAGGACACATGGGGAAGGATTCTGGAGTCTCAGAGGCTGCCGGAGAGGTGGGCCTGGTTGAAGGCCCAAAGCCACTGGCCAGAGGACACTGGGGACAATAAGGGACTGTAGCTGGTGGTCAGCAGAGACAGAAGGCAGTTGAGCCTTGGGTGTGCTGTGGGCTTGAGGCCAATGTGAGTGTCTGGAGGGTATGGATGTAAACCATACAAAGTACCCCGGGGGATCTGCCTGGTACAAGCAGGCAGAATTCACAGATGTGCTTAGTGGAAGGCGAATACAGATGACTCCCTGGAGGCTGGGTGGAGCGGGCTGGGGAAGGGGCCCTGCTCACCTGGATGGATGGGAACAGGAAGCTCGAGAAAGCTCATATCCTTGTTGGGTACCAGACCTCAGTCTGGACCCCTTTCGGAGCCACAGATGACGAATGGGGCACTGGCCTGGCTGACTGGTTGGCACTTAGTAAACACTGGTTGAATGAATGAACACGGCCTGGAGTGTCATGGAGGCTTAGCCTCTAAGAACGGGTGGGATCTGTACGAGCACGGGGACCAAGGATGTCTTCACTCAGCACATATGTGTCAAGCACTGACTGTGTGTCAGGCCCAGGAATGGACCAGGGTGGTCTGGGCGGGGGGCAGGCAAGTACTCACTGGGCCCAATGGAATGTCCCACGATGTAGGCAAAGACACAGATGATGCCGAGGTAAGACAGCTCAGGGACCCTGTTCTGTGGGAGAGGCAGGGCTGTCTGGGCTGAGAGGGCCTGGCTGAGGACCTCTGCAAGCCTGAGGCCAGGAGCCCCATGTGCAGAGGGGTCCACTTGCGGGTCCTACTTTCCTGCCCCAGGGAGGAGCCTGCCTAGATGTCTGGACACCTACATGGGCCTCAAGGGCTTTTCGGGCAAGAGAGGCAGGCCAGTGAGAACCAGGCCCTCTAGCCTCCCGCAGAGAACTCCCTCCAGCCTCACCTGATGAGAGTCACAGAGGACGAGGAACACCTGCCTTTTAGCTATTTTCCTGCCAGGTGCTATTCTCTGCACTTTACAAATCACAAACATTAATGATGCCCCTCTGCCCTCTGAGTGACTCTGTGATTTTTTTTTTTTTTTTTTTTTTGAGACAGAGTCTTGCTCTGTCGCCCAGGCTGAAGTGCAATGGCCTGATCTTGGCTCACTGCAGCCTCCACCTCCCAGGTTCAAGCGATTCTCCTGCCTCAGCCTCCCAAGTAGCTGGGATTACAGGTGCATGCCACCATGCCCGGCTAATTTTTGTATTTTTAGTAGAGACAGGGTTTCACTATGTTGGCCAGGCTGGTCTTGAACTCCTGACCTTGTGGTCTGCCCTCCTTGGCCTCCTAAAGTGCTGGGATTACAGGCTTGAGCCACCGCATCCAGCCTAAAGTTTCCACTAAGAATAAAACCTTATATTGTTTTTTGTTTGTTGTTTGTTTGACAGGGTCTTGCTCTTTTGCCCAGGCTGGAGTGCAGTGGCACAATCTCGGCTCACTGCAACCTCCGTCTCCCAGATTCAAGTGATTCTTCTGCCTCAGCCTCCTGAGTAGCTGGGATTACAGGCACACGCCACCAGGCCTGGCTAATTTTTGTACTTTTAGTAGAGACAGGGTTTCACCATGTTGGTCAGGCTGGTCTCAAACTCCTGACCTCAGGTGATCCACCTGCCTTTGCCTCCCAAAGTGCTGAGATTACAGATGTGAGCCACTGCATCTGGCCGAGAACTTAAATTGGTTTTAAAATTAGAAAAGAAAGTTCTTTCCAAAGGAAACTTTAATTAAATTGATTTTTGAGCGTCACTAACACTGTTTCTTGCCAGGCCTTGCTTTCCCTGCAGGCCCCTGCCTCTTGGTGTTTCCCTGAATCCCTCCAGCTCTTTCCTGCCTGAAGCTCTCTGTACGCCCTGATGGTTAAGGACAAAGACATTGCAGAGAGGGCAGCTTGGGAAAGAAGGAAAAGAGCAAAGATCTCGCCTCTAAATGACAGAATGAGCTCCTCACACATTCTTGGACTCATGTGCAATTGCATTTCTGATGCATTTTCATTTGAAAGCGTTCAGGACAGTGCGCACCTCCTGCATGAGCAACAGCGGCAGAGAGGCTGCCTCGGAGACGCAGGCTGTGGATTGCTTTGACAAGATTTCCTATTGGCCGGGTGCAGTGGCTCACGTCTGCAATCCCAGCACTTTGGGAAGCTGAGGCGGCTGGATCACGAGGCCAAGCGATCGAGACCATCCTGGCAAACATGGTGAAATCCCGTCTCTATTAAAAATACAAAAATTAGCCGGATGTGGTGATGCGTACCTGCAATCCCAGCTACTAGGGAGGCTGAGGGAGGAGAATTGCTTGAACCTGGGAGGCAGAGAACGCATCATTGTACTCCAGACAGGGCTACAAGAATGAAATTCCATCTCAAAAAAAAAAAAAAAGGTTTCATATCATACCACCCCATGTATTTTCATTACTTCCGTAGAACATAAATAATACATGTAGGGTGAGAACACTGCAAGTTGAAATGATGCACTTCTTGTTTGGGTGGCCTGCTGTGTTTTAATCTCACTGAAATATGATTCCCAGTTTTGGTTTGTTTTTTTTTGAGACAGGCTCTCACTCTGTCACCCAGGCTGGAGTGCAATGGTGCAATCATGGCTCACTGCAGCCTTGACCCCCTGCATTTGGGTGATCCTCCCACCTCAGCTTCCTGAGGGGCTGGGACTACAGGTGCACACCACCACACCCAGCTAATGTTTTGTATTTTTTTGTAGAGATGGGGTCTCACCATGTTGCTCAGACTGGTCTCGAACTCCTGGGCTCAACTGATCCTCCTGCCTTGGCCTCCCAAAGTGCTAGGATTGCAGGCATGAGCCTCCATGCTTAGCCTCCTACCTGTTGAATGGGTGACATCTGGTCTTACCTCTCCTCAGTGCACACCTGTTCACTGCCTGTGGCTGTTTTCTGTTGCAGCCACACCCTTGAATTTACGTACTGAAGCACACATTTTATTGCAAACTGTCCTCCTTGTTTCTCTTTCCCATGACAGCTGGACCATCTATCTAGTTACTCATTTGCATGTGCAGGTGTAGGTGAGTGAAGCCAGCTGTGACATTCGCTTCAGGAGGGGGCTTTGCAAAGTACTTTTCCAGGCAGGGGGCGTACCCTCGGTGGGACTCAGAGCCAAACACTTGGTGCAGGGGGACCAGTCAGGAAGGGGACCTCCCACCCCCACCATGACTCCCCAACCAGGGGGCAGGGAATGAGGTCAGACCTGGAATAGGATCACCGCTGTCAGCACCAGGCAGGCAGAGCCGCAGATGCCGTAGCCGGCCAGCAGGAGGGGCCGCCGTCCCAGCCGCTCCACCAGGACAGCCTGGAGGGGAAGGGGGGCAGTGAGGAGCTGCGTTGGCCTGGCACCCAGGATTCTTGGGCAGAGCCTCCACTTTCTCTTGCGGGACCCTCTTCCTTTTTTCAAAAACTGTATATATATATAGTTTCCCTCCTGCTGCCCAGGCTGGAGTGCGGTGGTGCCATCTCGGCTCACTGCAACCTCTGCCTCCAGGGTTTAAGCCATTCTCCTGCCTCAGCCTCCCGACTAGCTGGGATTACAGGCACCCGCCACCACGCCTGGCTAAATTTGTATTTTTAGTAGAGACGGGATTTCTCCATGTTGGCCAGGCGGGTTTTGAACTCCCAACCTCAGGTAATCCACCTGCCTCAGCCTCCCAGAGTGCTGAGATTACAGCCGTGAGCCACCGCGCCTGGCCTGTAGGCCCCTCTTAGGTGCCCCTTTCTCTTTCTCCCCTTCTCCCTTCCTTTCCTTCCTTCCCTTCCTGCCTTTCCCTTTCTTCCCCACTTCCTCCCTTCCCTCCCTTCTTCCCTTCCTTTCTCTTTCTTTCTCTCTCTTTTCTTTCTTTTCCTTTCTTTCTTTCCTTTCTTTCTTCCTTTCTTCCTTCCTTCCCTCCCTCCCTCTTTCTTTCTTTCCTTCTCTCCTTCCTTCCTTCCTTCCCTCCCCCTTTCTCTCTCTCTTTCTTTTCTTTTCTTTCTTTTCCTTCCTTCCTTCCTTCCTTTCTTTCTTTCTTTCTCTCCTTCCTTCCTTCTTCCTTCCTTCCTTTCTTTCTCTCCTTCCTTCCTTCTTTCTTTCTTTCTTTCCTTCTTTCTTCCTTCCTTCCTTCCTTCCTTCCTTCCTTCCTTCCTTCCTTCCTTCCTTCCTTCTTTCTTTCTTTCTTTCTTTCCTTTCTCTTTCTTTCTTTTTTTTCTTTCCCCTCCCTCCCTCCCTCCCTCTTTCTCTCTCTCTGTCTCTCGTTCTTTCTATGGAGTTTCGCTCTTGCTGCCCAGGCTGCAGTACAATGGCACGATCTCGGCTCACTGCAACCTCCACCTCCCGGCTTCAAGCAATTCTTCTGCCTCAGTCTCCCAAGTAGGAGGTATTACAGGCGCCTGCCACCACGCCCAGTTAATTTTTATATTTTTAGTAGAGACAGGGTTTCACCATGTTGGTCAGGCTAGTCTCGAACTCCTGACCTCAAGTGATCCTCCTACCTCGGCCCTGCTAAGTGCTGGGATTATAGGCGTGAGCCACCGCACCCCGCCTTTTAGGCGTCCCTTTCTTACCCCTGCCGCCCGCATGTGGGATAGAGGCTGCTCATCTGGCCTGGGTTGGACATTCACGATTTTCACCCCCACCCTTCCTTGTTCTGGTCATTTCCGACCTTTTGGGTCTTGGCTCCCTGCACCCCTGCCACCCACTGGAACCACCACATGTTCTAGTTTCCATGTTTGATGCTTTGACGTCTCGGGAGCTTGACGGCCCTGGAAGGACTGCCCTCCCGCAGTCAGCCGGTTCCCACTGATAAACAAACCTCTGTCTGGGAGTGCCTCTATCACCTGCAAACCCACAATGCAGGCCCACACCCCAGCTCCTCCTCTGGGGACTTTCACACTCAAGGCCAGCAGCACCTGCCCTAACACCCTGGGGCCAGGGAGCAGACAGCTGGGACAGCCCCTGTTCCCCGGAGCTGGAGGAAGTTATTCACACCAGCTACTCCTAAACCTGCTCACCCTGCTCACCCGTTCCTGTCTGTGGGAACCACGGTAAAGGTTCATCCTCACTAGTCCAAGCCCAGGTCACTATTTGTGACCAGCAATCCTACTTCTTCTCACTTTTTCTACTTTTTTTTTTTTTTTTTGAGATGGAGTCTCGCTCTGTCGCCCAGGCGGGAGTGCAGTGGCGCAATCTCCATTCACTGCAGTCTCCATCTCCTGGGTTCAAGCAATTCTCCTGCCTCAGTCTCCCAAGTAGCTGGGATTGCGGGCGCATACCACCACAGCTGGGTAATTTTTGTATTTTCAGTAGAGACAGGGTTTCACTATGTTGGTCAGGCTGGTATCGAACTCCCGACCTCAAGTGATCCACCCACCTCAACCTCCCAATGTGTTGAGATTACAGGCGTGAGCCATCGTGCTTGGCTCCTTTTCTACTTTAATGCCATTTCCATTCTCCCCCATCCCTAATGTTGACCCAGGGCAGGCCCTGTACAGCCCCCTGACTCAGTTACCTGACTCATGTCTTCCCAACATCCCAACAGACAGACTATCACTGCCATTCAGGAGGGCCAGATGGGAGCAAAGTGCACCCCCTGAATCAGAGAAATGCTGTCAGTTTCATGCCCTATGCCTGGTTCCCACCGTTCCTTTAGGGAGATGGAAAGCATATTTTTCTGGCTTCGGTTGCTCCAGGTAGGATGATGGGCAAGCAGGTCCTAGTGATAGTCATTCATCCTCGGAGGAGGACTCTGAGGGGAAAGGATGGATCCTGCCCCAGAGGAGAACTGGGGAGGGGGCCAAGGGAATCCAGCAGGAGGAGGGGCTGAGACTTCAGCCTGGGGACCTCTGTCCTCCTCCCTTAATTTTCCTCTCAGCCTTTCCTGCTGTTTTCCTAACTTCTCCCTCCCTGTCCTTCTAAATCTTCTGAGAGTTGATTGGCACTTAAACTAGCTCTGGGGAAAATACAAATAATAGATAACTTTCTAAACAATGTTTACCATCACTGGCAACTCAAGGAAGAGGAATCAAAATTTTATCAGAAGATAACTTGCAAATGGTCTAGGGACTAGCCTGACCAGTATGATGAGACCCTGTACTAAAAATACAAATAGTAGCTGGGCATGGTGGTGCACGCCTGTAATCCCAGCCACTCAGGAGGCTGAGGCGGGAGAATCTCTTAAACCCGGGAGGCAGAGGTTGCAAGGAGCAGAGACTGTGCCACTGCACTCCAGCCTGGGCAACACAGTGAGACTCTGTCTAAAAAAAACCAAAATGCAAAGACAAGAAAAGAAAATGATCTAGGGAAAGGAATGTCATGATATCTGACCCTTTCTCATACAACATATATGTCTCAAAGCATAAGTAGCCCGGATGTTAAATACTGAACTCTGAAATGATATTGGACCGACGAAAAGTGGTACCTGCTTTCGAATACCGTGTATTGCAGTCACCGTAATGAGGATTACAAAGGAAGAAACTTGGACCTCTGTTGTTGTTGATGTTTTTGAGATGGGGTCTCGCTCTTGTTCCCTAGGCTGGAGAGCAGTGGCATCATCTCAGCTCACTGCAATCTCCGCCTCCGGGTTCAAGTGATTCTCCTACCTTGGCTTCCCAAGTAGCTGAGATTACAGGCACCCACCACCATGCTTGGCTAAGTTTTGGATTTTTTAATAGAGATGGGGTTTCACCATGTTGGCCAGGCTGGTCTTGAACTCCTGACCTCAAGTGATTGGCTCGCCTCAGTCTCCCAAAGTGCTGGGGTTACAGGTGTGTACCACCACGTCTGGCTACATTTTTTGTATTTTTAGTAGAGCCTGGGTTTCGCCATGTTGGCCAGGCTGGTCTCAAACTCCCTGACCTCAAGTGAAGTGCCTGCCTCAGCCTTCCCAAGTGCTGGGATTACAGGTGTGAGCCACCGTGCCCGGCCAGATCGGAAGGAATTTTGAGTAGGCTGGTCAAGGTCATGCAAGTACTTAGTATGTGTACATCCTAAAGTCCATGTCCCTTAAATGACCCCAGCACCAGGGCTACCAGCACTCAGTTGACTCTGTGGGTCTCTCTGCTGCCTGGGGGCACCTGGCCAGAAACCCTCCAGCAGGAAAGACGCCTCCTGCTCACTCACCGAGATGACAGTCATCACTATGTTGACCACGCCAGCACCCACTGTCACGTACTGGGAGTCAGAGGCCTCCACGCCCGCAGATGTGTAGATGGTGTCTGCATAGTAGTTGATCTAAACAAAAACACAGGGCTGTGGGGAAGAGGCCCAAAGACCCAGGACACTGGCTTAACTTTCTCAGCTCAAGCCATACACGGTTCTGCAAGCCTGGGTTGGGAACCCTGGGACAGCAAAGAGGCAGCAGGTGGTGGGAAGAAGAGGCATGACCCGGAGTTGGGACACCAGGAGGACGCCCGACTCTGCCCAGGAACTGAGGGTCAAGGCTCTTCCCTCTCTGAGCCTCAGGTTCTTTATCTATAAAATGAGAGCCAGATCACACTACCCAAGATCGCTTTTCCCTCCATGACTTGGTTCCTCTAAGAGCTCAGAACCCAGAGAATGATTTCTTACCTCTCACTTGGGCCAAGCCAACCCCAAGTTCAGTCTGTCTTCTGGCCCAGTGCCAAGGACACTGGCACAAACAACCCTTCGGAAAGCCATGTGTGCTGTTCCACGTTTGGTGGCTCCCACCTGGGCCGTCCACCCTCCCATGATCACTGATTAAACATCCATGAATCCCTGAGGCCAAGGCCACCTCTTCCTGACACGCCACTGGAGCAACCGGGTCACCCATCCAATCGCCAGTGTTTTAGCTCCTGCCAGATCTCCACGCTTCCCCTCACACCGTGGTTAGATAGAGTTAGAGCGAAAGAGCCACAGGCGCAGAAAGTGATGCCACAAACATCACACCCAGATGGGTCCGAGGTGACATCCTGAGCCAGGCTGGACCCACCAACCCCAGCCTGGTGATCTGAGCTTGGGTCCAGGAGACCTCAGCTCATCTGTCTAGCCGTTGTCTTGTACGGAGGGGAAAGGACTATTGGCAGGAGGCATTTCCTTCTGGGGACTGGGAAACAGAGAAAAATGAAGGGGGCACGTGGAGCAGGGCAGAGCGGGGAGACAGTGAGGACTGAGGTTTCTTCCCGACATCTGGCCTTGCTTGGGCGGATTCTGGCCCTGGAGCCAGGCCAGGCCTCTGTGGGTGGGACAATGTGTTGCTGTCGATGAAGCCTGGGTCTGCTTCATCTGTCTGCCCGCCTGGCCACTGTCCTGCGTACCGCATTGATCCCCGACAGCTGCTGGCCAGCCATGAGCACGATGATGGAGAGGAGCTGGCAGCGCTGGGACCGCAGGGCGCAGAGGCGCAGCACCGACAGGTGGCCCTCGGCATGCTCGGCCCGGGCCTCCGCACGCATGTCCTCCAGCTCAGCCTCTATGTCTGCGTGGCCTCTCAGCCTTCTCAGAGCTGCAGAGAGCAGAACCACCACCCCCTCAGAGGGCAGGATCCCTGCAGGCCAGGCCCCAGGCCCCCATGCTGGCCCTGAGCTCACCACTCCCTGACCTGACCTTGACAATGCCCCAATCTCCACCCCCCGCCCCATTCAGCTCCCAACTCTCACCCCGACCCATGGCGACCCTGACTCTAACCCTGACCGTGACTCTGCCCGGCCCACGGGGTGGGCAGGGCCTGGGAGAGTGGCCTGCAACTTCATACCTTGTCGCGCTGTGGCTTCATCTCCTTTCTGAATCAGGGAGTATCGGGGGCTCTCGGGGAAGAAGGGCAGGGACAGCAGCTGCAGCAGTGCAGGCACCCCCGTGAGGGCCAGAAGCACCGGCCACCCTGCAAGGAGCCGAGCACTCAGGACCCCGAGGCCTGGGGAACCCTGGCCCACTCACCACTGCCCTTGGAAGGTCACACTCCTGTGTGAACCAAGGACTGTGGGGATTTAGTTCTCACCAGGGCCCTCCTACAAATGGGTTCCACATTCAAAACGAAGGAAATCACTATAGTTATAAAAATCTACATGTCATTAATTATTTGGCAGGAAGAGCACCGTTTCTCTAAAGAATAGGCATTGATTTAAACACTTGAACCCCGGGGAAAATGAGCTCCGTTTTAGTCCTACTTTTAAGGCTGGAAAAGACACAATCTCTGCCTCATTACGGCCGGGGTGGGGCAGGTCCTGGACCCTGCGCTGGGTCTAAGTGAGCTTCTTCTGGACAGCTTGGGCTAAGGAGGGAAGCTGAGATTCCACTAAGAGAAAAGGGTCTGTCCACCGCCACCCACCCCTGCTGGTACTGTGGGAAGTGGACGAGTTCTTTTTTTCTTTTGAGACAGGGCCTAGCTCTATCAGCCACGCTGGAGTGCAATGGTGCAGTCATAGCCCACTGCAGCCTCGGTCTCCCAGACTCAGGTGATCCTCCCACCACAGCCTCCTGAGTGGCTGGAACTACAGGTGCACACTACTGCACTACCTGGCAGATTTTTTCTTTTTAAAAAAATTTTAGTAGAGACTGGTCTTGATATGTTGCCCTGGCTGGTCGTGAACTCCTGGGCTCAAATGATCCTCCTGCCTTGGCCTCCCAAAATGCTGGGCATGAGCCACTGAGCCCCGCTGACAAATTCTTTAACATCTCTGAGCGTCAGGCAAGAGGTGGCGAGGGATGAAAGAGGCGCAGGCATGAAGCGACACGCAGGGCGGCCTCCTCCCCAGCTGATGTCTCTCTAATTGATGGTTTAATATTCAGTTGCTCTGGGCTAATGATCTTTCATGGAGCACCCAGCAGGTTCTGAGTCTCTGAACCTCTTCAGGGTACTGTGGGGACCACAAAGACATAAATACACCCATTAAGGACTCTGTGCAGAATTGGGTCATTCAGAAATGAATATGAAAAAGCCCCAGCTGGGCACAGTGGCTCATGTCTATAATCCCTTCACTTTGGGAGGCTGAGGAGGGATGATTACTTGAGCCCAGGAGTTAGAAACCAGCCTGGATGTGAGACCCTTGTCTCTACAAAAAATAGAAAAAATGCAATGGGCATGGTGGTGTGTGCCTGTGGTACCAGCCACTTGGGAAGCTGAGGCAGGAGGGTCGCTTGAGCCTGGGAAGTCAAGGCTGCAGTGAGGTATGACTGCATCACAGCACTCCAGCCTGGGTGATGGAGTGAGATA